ACATTGTCTTAGAAACTAAATAATGATCCTACAGCACTGTTTGCCTAAGTCATTAACATGATATAAGGCAGAATGCTTATATTTGTACTTAATTATTCCAAAATAGAAAGGTTTTCAATAGAGATTTGTAAAAACAAAACCAAAATAATCTCTCTAGTGAATTGCAAAGGACACATGCAATACAGAGAATCAATCAAAACTCGAAGTAGTTACATGTAGGAGATGCGAAGCACAGGGTGTGAACAAGCCACAACAAATTTTTGATTTTGGCTCTACTGGTGGGGCAAAATCTTTAAGCCCATTATGTAGTGTAGCAATGCAAAACCAATTATCTTCGACACTCAAATGAAAACCACTTTGACTAAGAATTTTTTGGTACATGGTTATTATTACATTTGCTCACTATACCTTTGCTACTCCTGTGTCTCCTTTGCACCAGACATAACCATGGGAAAGACAGGAAAGAACCAAATGAGCTCTTTTCCACTCATCTTCAGAAGACAGTTTCTTGTAATCTAACAAGGGAAGCTACAAACACCAACACAACCCTGATATTAAGAAGATATACATGTATATATGGTATACGCCACTTTGACCCGAAACAGGTGGAACATATTNCACAACCCTGATATTAAGAAGATATACATGTATATATGGTATACGCCACTTTGACCCGAAACAGGTGGAATATATTTAACATAAAGATAGTATTTACAATAAAATAATAAATAATAAATATTAACATATTAAAAGAGTTCATAAATTTGACTCTGGTACAATTTTCTTCTTTCTCCCCTTCTCCTTCTCCTTCTCCTTCTCATATCCACTGACTCTTTTCTCATTAACTTTCTCACACATTTGACTAAGACCAATATTCTGAATGGTCATGTCACATTTATTTTTGTTTGTATGTAATATTTTTTATTAACAGGATATTTCATATTTGGAAAAAAGTAACCTGTTTTTATGTTTTTTTCTGAGATTTGGGGGAGGCTATTATTTGGAAGAGAGGGAACTTAATTACTGAAATTTGAAGTCACTCTTCAAAAATAATGAAAATTGAAATCAATCCTCAACAACATCTTCTGGAAAAGCCCTCTCCCTGTTAGCTTTAAATATTACGTATTAAAAACTATGCAAATATAAAATGTCATTTAACCATTAAACAAAAAGGAAAGTAAGTACATCAGAAAGCATCCTTACATCTTTAATCCTTTGACGTAAACAATCAGCTTCTTTCACGAGTTGAGGAAGATCTCTTGCAACTTCTTCCCAAGGAGAAAAATACTCTGGCAGACATTGCTTAAAAATAAATTAAATCAAATGAATCTTTCTATATATAGAGGAAGCAGCGTGGCCAAGTGGTTAGAGCACTGAATTTGAACTCTGTCTACAGGTCCTGGGTTTAAATCCCTTTCTGACCGCTGATGTTGTTTTCAGTAGCCCTGAGTTCAACTTCTCCGCTGCACTTATAAATAGCCAACCGGTCTGCCTCCCACCAGTTGGGATTCTTAACCTAGTTATGTTTATTTGAATATTTGTTTATCATTGTTTGTTTACATTGGTCCTGAAAAGCCCCAATGGGGAGTGGCCAATTAAGTATACATACATACATTAAACAGATTCTAAATTAATTCAATGTATGTGTTTAACATGACTGAAAATTATCACCATGGGATGATTTTGAGGGAATAATTCCAAGGAGGACTATCCTTCAAGAT